ACCTCGTATTAATTAACGAACATTGAATGATAGAATATTTTTTTCTTTACAATACAAACCACAAAAAGTAAAACAAATATTAAAAGAGTGAAATGCGACTTTTTCGAGTAAATAAATTTAAGTTTACTTAAAAATTTTTATTGTAATCAATACGTGTCCTCCTTGAATGTGAAAGTCTGAAATACTGTATAGCTGTGCTTTGTAATGTTAATTTTGTTCCATGTCTTACCGTGGTAGGAGAGGCAGAGATTGACCAATCAAAATCTGACCAATTAAAATCTAACAAATGAAATTCTGACCATGCGGTGCGTTACTCTGCCTTTTCTCCCATCTACATCCTTGGAGGACGGACGTTGTTTCAAAGTTTGTTATTTATTTTATCAAGATTTTGGTGAGTAAATCTATTTCATTATGTCTGCTATGAGTACTGTAAATTTGGATTATCTCCCTTTACAAAATTGGTTTTATTTCTCATCTTGATATCTTGTGTCTGCTAAAAATTATATGTCATTATTAATAATACTTTTGAGAATTTCAAACAAATTATCAAACGTCACAAAGGCGGCAACACACGACAAACTGTTTTACAGACTTTTTACTCATTGAAGGAGGAAAAGATAAGGTGTTTTGGTAGATGGAAATCGGATGCATCTAAATATTACATAAGACATGTGACACCATGTTGATATATGCTTAAGTGGAAGTGGATCCTCGGAGCAGATTTGTTTTGTTTATTGTGTAGGATCTCGACTTTGAAGTGATTTTCAAGAGTATTAACGTATGGGGGCATATGTTTATCCCTCATCCAGAACAATAGTGCCTAAGTCATTTGTTAATACTTAGGCTGGTAGGTGACAAGATCGCGTGCATATAAACATTTAAAATGGTGAGGAAGCTTACAGTGTGAAATATTTTCCAATATGGGGGCATATGTCTATCCCTCATCTAAAACATTGCTCGAGACAGTCCTTAAATGAATACCATATACATGTGAACTTAGTAAAAAAAAAGCGAATAAGATGATGATTTGCGACTATAAGGGCATATGTTTATCCCTTATCGGACATTCTACATAGTGATTCGTTAATACTTGGGACCCACAGACATAATACACTAGGAATAGTAAACTCATTTGGTTGTGATGGGGGCATATGTTTATCCCTCATAAGACACTTGTGAATTCAAATTGTTGTTTTATTGCATTACGGGACATATGTTAACCAAATACATTATACTTTTATCCTTAGACGATTGCTTGTTAATGATATGCACAAGGGCATAATTGTCTGTGTAAAAGTAAATGCATTTGTTTTTGAAAATATGACTCCAAACTTTAAGAGCTAACACTATTGGGTAAAATTCCAAGAGAGTAATATTACATTTTTTCCAATTATCATTCCAAGTCCCATAGAACCAGTGCCCACCTAACACTGCCCCGTATCCTATAGATCCTGAAGCGTCTGTATACAGTTTTAATTCATTGGAATCAACCCACCTATCTGGTAAGAAAACCGACCTACCATTAAATTTTTCCAAGAAGGCTAACCAAGTACATAAATCTGCTTTTACTTCTTTGTTTAGTCTAATGCGATAATATGCTTTTGTAATGCCAATAGTAGTGTTGATAAGTCGCCTTAAGAATGCTCTACCTGGCAAGACCACATTACACGCAAAATTAAGAAGACCAATCACTGACTGCATGTCCTTCAAAGTAACCTTTCTGCTTGGTAAAAGCTGTTCAATTGTATCTCTACATTTTTTAACTTTATCAATAGGTAACCTTGCCTCCATCATCTCGGTGTCTAATTCATATCCCAGAAAAGTCATTACCTTGTTAGGACCAAATGTCTTATCCTTAGCCATAGGTACACCTATGTCGGCGCAAACTGTTAAAAACGCCACAACTTTTTGTGGCACTCTGTCGCAGATTTGTCAACAATTAGAAAATCATCTAATACATGAGTCATAAATTTAATTCCTAATTTTTCTTGTGCAATCCACTGAAGTGCTGTACTAAACCTTTCAAATATACGACAGGAAGAACTGCAACCCATCTGAAGACATGTGTCAAAATACCAATGACCTTGCCAAGTGAAACCAAAGTATTCAAACTGTGATGCATGTAAGTTGATAATTCGAAATGCATTAGAAATATCTGTTTTGCAACAATATGATCCTTTCCCACACTGCTTAATGTTTTGAATAGCATCCTCTACAGAAGAGTATTGAACAAATGACTCTTCCTCGGGTATGCCATCATTGACAGACTCACCTTCCGGATATGACAAATGATGGATCATACGGTACTCACCCTCTGTTTTCTTACTAACTAGACCTAAAGGGGAACAATTTAAAATTGGCAGTGGTTTCTCTTTGAAAGGACCCATAATTCTACCCAAATTTATCTCCTTTTCTAACATTTTGCTAATAACTTCTGGTAAGTCCAGTGCCGATTTTAATTTTTTTGAAAGAGTATTTCTACTTTCCCCTGAGTAACCAATGTGGAAACCATATCGAAAACCATTAACTAAAAATTCTGTTTCTACCTTGTCATACCCCACCAACCAGTACTCTAATCTACTGGGATTTACTGGAGTTGGACCCTTTTTGTGGGATAGGTTGGCTTTGAGAATTTAGCATTACCTGTGTTGGTTGATGTGCCATTTCCTTGAAATGGTTTTTGGGTTCTGGATTTGTCCAAGAAACGAAATGGCCGTTGAATTGGTTTTTTTACATATGTAGATTGGATGGAAGCCACCAAAGTTATAACATCTGTGCTGGAATTTGCATGATGAACCAAGCCTACAATACCTTCCAGCTTTGTGATAGGCAAAGCATGACCCCTGAGGGACTTCCTCATACGTACCAAATGACGAACAGTCTGGTTTTATTTTGCTTGACTTCTTTTCCGATTGTTTGAGGCGAGCATTAACATATATCTCCATATGGACATCACCCCATTCTACCTCATCTTGTTCTATGAGTTCCCTGAACTCCTTATCATATTTTCTCCAGTCCCCCTTTTCCTCTGCAATTTGCCTTACTGATTCCATGTGTTTTGCAAGCTTTGGCTGTGCAAGTGTATCTTTAATGCAATATATTGTCACATACCTATTCCACGCAGTTACCCAGTCATGCAGGGATAACGAACCATCCCTAACTTCGTCATCATCTGTGGATCGCATATTGTGGATTACCACCTTACCTGTCTGATCCTGTTCCTCTACCTTGATAGAATACTTACTTTTCCCCTTTTCCTTTTTTAACAACAGAGCCATATCAACATATTGTTTTGACCAAATTTTAGATTTTATTTTGTCAGAAACAGTTGCCTCTATTGGTACTGATGAGCTTACAAAACCTGATTTCTTACCGACATTTGCTGCAGGTGGAAGTTCAGTACCTACAATCTGTGAACTGTGTTCGATTACAGCGCCTGATACCAATCCTGAGATACTTGCATCCACTGACTTATTTGTTATTTGACAAACTGATCGACCCAGAAGGACCTGCTGTTAAGCTATTGCTTGATGTAGTGGAAGCATTATTTCCCCTTTCTCCCCCCATATTATGAACAGAGATACTCCCCTGATGTTGCAGTAATGGTTTTATCTCTGCTAACACCTTCTCCGTGACTGCCTTTGTTATGGTTTGGGTTAATGCAGCCAAGGTTTCACGAGGAACATCAAGGGGTTGAGTGCTTGTATCGACAGCCACAGCATCATTGGTAGTGGACTCTCCAGTTCCGTTCTGTGCACGACGTGGTCTTTTCACCTGACTTGTTTTGGACTGTTGGGCTTTATTCCTTTTGCCTGGCATAATGCTGGTAAATATATACGTATATAAATTTAAAATTAAGGAAGAAGTATGTATCCAATATATTATGTTATGTATAAATATAAACTGTAAAAGGCTTCGGCCTTAATTGACAATGAACAAGAATTGTAAGACCTCACTGTAGCCAGTGAGGTCCCAACTGTAACTGTAAGAGTCAGTTAGCCTACATGATAACGTATTTGAACATATTGATATTTAACATTACATTATATAACCACTTTCATCGCTCAGTACAATGTGTAAATCTAATACAACAAACTAGAAAGTGATGAACCTTTTCTTACAATTAATATGTTTTACGGTGTGACCGTTGAGGCGAGCGCAGTTGTACTTGAAAAATTGATCAGCCACTCCAAACATCAAGTCGCACGAGACATCTCGACTAGCTATGACGTCACACGACGTCACGGAGCTCGTCGGAGCTTACGGAAACGGCCGAGCGTCTGGTTTAAACTATAGACCTAGCACAATTTTGGTCGAAAAACATTGCAGAGTTATTTTTTGTTTCTTTGAAAGATTTCTACAAACTGAAAGCTTTTTATGCTTTTCGTTATTGTTTATTTATTTATCTATTTCACGGAAGCAACCGACATGACTTAATTAGCATATCGTCAAAATTCGTAAGTTTCCGGTGACGTCATTTGTATCATTTCCGAAGGGCAAGGTGAAAGCCGGTGTTGTGGCATGGGGGTATTTTTTTGAATAAGGTAAGGCAAAATCATTTCGTTAAGATTTCGGTAAGAAACAATGTTCCTTTATTTTTTTACTATTTTTGATTTATTTGCGCAAAGGACATTGGGTAGTGCAGGAATTCTGGGAATGTTGCACAGAGAAATTTGGCTGACGTATGTACAGATTTCAATCCGAATTTCCTCTGTTCTTACACGTTAGTCTATTGAGCTCGCTTCGCGAGCGTCGCTACGCGACGCTCGCTGCGCTCGCTAATATTTCACTTCATTGATTCTGCCGCTTTTCGATAAAACACCCTGTATCACCTACAGTTGTTGACAAAAATTTTCAGGAAATAGAGTAAATAGTAGAACCAAAAGTGTTTTGGAACAGATCTGTATTTCCCGAATTGCCGTAAGCCAATAAAAGCACCAATGGCCAAGTTCCGCAATGTCTTATTTCTGGAGTTATCTCTCTTTGAAAAATCGCTAGATGTCGCCAACACATTGACTTCCGGGGCGTTTGTTGTTCAACTTGTGTTGTGTACTCACAGTACTGATAATTGCAATTTCTGCGTTAGACAAGGACATACCAAGGTAAGATTTGCGATATATCTGTATAATTAATTTATTTAAAGATTTATAACCATTATCTAAACGTGGTAAATGGTATACAAATAATAAAATATAAATGCTCAGCGTTTTCGCGTGGCATTTAAATATTCAACTGAATTGGCTATTGCAAGGTCTAAGATCGACCCTGTTCGAACCGAATGTAGATGACATTGAAATTATGATTTAATAACTGTTTAATATTAACAGTAATGTAATATTGTCGGAATAATTGAATATGTGACCATCCAACAGCGTTTAATTCTGAAAAAAGGGGGTGTCTTTATTAATCCGAGATTCCTCTGACTCTAACCCCCGCTTTTATTTTATGACGTTTGTCCGCACATGTCATAAAATAAAAGCAGGGGTTAGAGTCAGGGGAATCTCGGATTATGTCTTTATATGATATTGATATGATATCAATAATTGTTTACATAAATTACATCTTGGGATCCTAATTACATTCAATTTTTATGAAACCCTTTTAAGTTATTTGGGCACTGTGTGTTTTCTGAATCTGTATTAATATACAATATTGAATGTTTCAGAATGTCTTCAAGCACTGATGATGAAGGTGAACCATCTCACTTGTCTCTAGAAGAAATTCAGTCATGGAAAGTTGTTGAACTAAAAAATTGGCTTGAAAATCACAGGCTTAAAAAATCTGGGAATAAAGAGGTATTGGCAAAGAGAGTTTACAAAGCCATGAGGCATGGTTATGATTCATCAGAAGATTTCATAGATACAGATGAAGAAATAGAGAAAACTGTTCCTGTTCATCCTTCAACAGATTCATGGAAAGAACTTGACTCTACTGATATTCCTGAAATTTCTCATAAGGCCATTGATATTTATTTTAAATGTCATAAAAATCCTGTAACTGGAGAAAGGTTAAATTTCGAGAGACAAATGAAAAAAGCAAAGCGTCTGTGCAATGAAGGGTTCATAAGAGAAATTGAATACAATAAAGGAAACAGTGATTTTTGTTACATGCGATCAACTTGTCTTCCATCAATGAAACAGACTGTTCAAGTTGGATTTGGAAAAAGTGCTAAATATTATTCTTTGAATGTTTGTATAAAGAAAAAGTCAGGCATTGTTGTAAATGCTTTATGTAATTGTAAAGCCGGAGAGGCAGGTCTTTGTGCTCATGTTGGAGCATTATTGTATGTACTTGTAAAAACAAAAAATTCCTGTACATCTAATCAGTGTGTGTGGAATAGACCTACACCTTTGAGAAGAAAACCAAGTCCAAAAAGAGTTGGAGATATTAGTTTTTCAAAAACAGAAAAAGATAATATTGTAGACAAAGTTCGTCCTTTCCCAGGCATTTATAATCCTGGACCTTGTCAAAGTGAATGCAGCTCATTTTTGAATGATATTTTGGATGGCTTAAAAGATATTTACCCACAATGTGTCTTGTATCAAACTTTAAGAGCAGAGCATGTTAATATAGATTCCTTTTTGAATATTTTTTTGCCAGATTTTATGTATAGGGACAATGTAAATCTAAAATCAAAAGAATGTGTTGAAAATTTTAAATCTTTTGTAAACAATATGAATATAACAACAGAGGTTAGTGAACTGTTAGAAAAAGGGAACTAGAGGTCAAAATTCAAATGTTAACTGGAGAAAGGCTAGATGCAATATCATTACTGCATCAGTAATGGGTGACGTTGTCAAAAGAGTAAAGTCCGAACCAGACAATTTAGTCAAGAAAATTTGTGGATACGTAGTAGTACCAGATTGTGTAAAAAGTATCAGTTATGGTCGAACAAATGAATCTGTTGCTTTGAGTGATTATATGGAGCGACATTTAAATTTGTGTGGTGATGTGAAGATCGAGTCCTGTGAGACTATATGTCAACCCTAAGTACCCATTCCTTGGGGCCAGTGTTGATGGACTTGTTACTTGTGTAGAATGTGGTACAGGACTTGTCGAAGTCAAGTGTCCTTATGGAAAACAAAAAAGTCCTTGGAGGAATATGCCTCCGACAAAATGTGGACAAGATAAACATTTTTTTTGCACTGAAAACAATGGTGAACTTAAATTAAAACAGAACCATAATTATATGTACCAAGTTCAAGGCCAGCTAGCATTATATGAACTTAACTGGGTTGATTTTGTTGTTTATACAAAAAAAGGTATATCTGTTGAAAGAATTCTTTTTGATGTTGGAATCTGGAATGATATGGTTCCAAAGATGAAATCTTTTTATACATATGGTGTTGTACCAGAACTTTTCACTAGAAGAATTCAGCGAGGAAAATCACTGTACATGTATAACATTTGATGTACATTTGTTAATAATTTGAATATTGCATAGAATGATTCTATTTGATTTTGAACATGTGTACATAAAACTGTTAACACTCTGAAACTTTTATATTTGCATGAGAGCTTAGATTCATCTGTAAAAATATTGAATAAAAACAAAAAGGTTATGTGATTTATTTTATTTATCCACATCTCATTTATGATTTCAAGGTCCAAGTGTACATATTTCAAGTTTATTTTCAAATGAATGTTTGTATTTCACATCGAATCGTCAAAATTCACATCACCTTGAAAACCACAAAATGTGATATACTTTAAATGGGTTTTTTTAATCATGCATTTAAAAAAATAATTCCTGGAAAGTAAATTTCCTCATAACAGGAATAAAAATAATTATACATGTTAGGGCATCCAGAAAAAAATCTAGTTAATTATATTTATGTCACTTCAGAAGTGGAGGCAATAAGTTAGTTAAAGATGTACAGATAACTATAATTTGTTCTGATAAGTGCACTTCTGAAATTGGTAAAACTGAGTTCACAATATTGTAGTTTTTGATCTGTTCCATCTTCATTTCAACTACTATTCTGGCTGAAGCTATTCTATTTGTTTTAAAGAAATCATGTTTTGACATCTGGCATGTACTTGATACTCGTGGTGGAACATTCAATCCAACATCAGCTGGTAACAAATCTTCTATTGTGAAACCTTTATCTGCCATTACAACATCACCTGGTGACAGTTTTGGAAGAAATCCATCGTGCTGAGTAATGTGTCTGTCTGACACATTCCCACCCCACAGTCTTGACACAAAGGTTACCATACCACTTGGTGACACACCAATCAATATTTTAAAAGTGTTTGAATGTTTGTATTCGGACCACGTCATCCACTGTGCCTTTAAAGAGGACGGTTTTTCAATAAAAAATTCTGTGCAATCAAGCACAATTCTAGTATCTGCGTGCATGCTAAAAAGCTTTGGTAAGTTACACAAAATCTGCTCTCTGGAGACCCACTTTATTAAGGATTTGCAGTGATCATAGAGGAAGTTAATCCAAGTGTTCATTACTCGTGATACTGTCGTTTCGGACACCCTGAAAATATCAGCAAGGTGTTCCTGAAGAGAGAGAGAGAGAAACTAAACGAAGTCTCATGCAAACCATCAAGAATTCATCCACTGGTCTCAAGGAACGTTTTCTGCCAGGCTTTTTAACCCCTGGTTCATGATACGACTTCTCACCCATGGACCTTGTCTCTCCCTCCCAGTAATTGAGTTTCTCTGCACCATGTTTCTGCCTCAGCACTGCAAAAAACATCCAAAAAATTTGAAAAGTTGCAAAACCTGTATAAAATCTTGTTTTAGAATCGTCATCTTTCATATCTTCATATGTCATCCTAGGCAAATCTGCCTGAACTTCAGCATTAACAGTAGACAAAGGGCTGCCAGTCGTCTGGGTTGCAGTTGAAACATGTACACAATGCTCTTCTGTATTTGTGTACGCATCTTTTGAATAAAAATATTTGAGGTCAGTTTGTATTGCAACATCATTGTACATTGACACAGGATTATCTTGTGGATTTTCAGTATCACTTTGCCCTGAACCATCATTTTGAAATGAATTTTCAATTTTTCTTACAAGAGGTCTTCGGGATTTTGTTTCCTTTTTGGGTTTACTTGGAAAAATTGTGGGAATCGATTCCTCAGTAAATGTTCCCTCAAAATGAACACTGCAAACTCGTGTGTGGTCTTTTACAACCAAATTTGCTCTCACATGTCGAAGTCGCTGAATCCAGAGACGCTTAATATGGGCCTTTTTCTCCGACATAGGGAAGCGATGCAATAATATTTTATTTAAATATTCATCCAATGTTTGAGAAGTTTTTCTGTATCCAGGAACGCAGCAATATTTCTTCCCCATACTGGAAAATAAAAAGTACATTGTAAAGTACTTAAAAAGGAATTTTTTTTCAAAAAAAAATGTTACAATTGACATTCATGTCCTTTTAAAATAAATTATGTTATGAATTCAAAATTATTTACATGTTACTGAATTGTTTTGCGAATTAAACAATGCCTTTTACACAACGGGGGGGGGGGGGCAATGTTAGATTTTCTTATGAACACAACTTGACAGCTGTAAATATTCATTCCTCGTCGAATAAAAATAAATTCTATACTTTAAAAAAATAGATATATGTATATAGACCTTTATAAATATTGACATTTTTTTTTTCTAGAATATACTAGATCCTTATGGTTGTTGCATGTGTATTAGATTCAAGAACCAACTCTGTACTGCTTTTATATTAATATGCATCGTAAACCAGTGTAACATCCTAAATACGACCGCTATTTAAATCCCTTACCTGGCTTGTCAGTGTCCTCGATACCGATAGTGTGTATTTTCTCGACGCTTCTTGCTTCAGCGATTTTGTTGCTTTGTGTATTGACGCCCTGGAAGTGGAGAGCTTCACAGTTAGGGACGATAACTCGTATTAAAAAAACATTGCGGAACTTGCTAAAAAACGGCTAAATGTCAAGCACAAAAGACTGCCTGAAACTTGTACCTAGGACTTGCCTAAAGTACTGTAAAAATTCACAATATTTTAGTAATCAACTAATACCGAAACAAACAAATTGGCAGATATTTTTCCAACAAATTGTTTTCTTTTTATACAGAAAAAGGATAAATCTGGAAGGCGTCAACATGCACTTCTACTGTTTCTAATGTAAATGAATGATTAAACCCTGAAAATTATTTAGATTTACCGGTAATCTCATATAAGAATTCGAAGGGCGGGTTGTGAAAGTCCGTAATAACCAATTTAAAATTAAATAAACATGATCTAACCAAATAGCCATAAATAATATTGAATTCTAAAATAAAGTTATATACGTATAGAATGAAATCGATTAATTCTATAAATTGATTCGGTGCAATACATTTACACGTCTTGAATGGTCAGGGCGAATCAGACTCTTGTTTTATTATTATAGTAAAATACCTCTAAAAATATTAATGCGAGCAAATGTTGCCATAGTTTGAAATGTTAGAATTATTTCAATCTTTTCTACGATCAAAGAAATTGTTTCTTGTAACCCGATGAAAACCCGGTAATCCGAAGAAAACCCGATGATCCAAAGTTAATGTACCATAATTGGCATTTTTTAAAAAAGTTTATTAAAAAACTTATTCATGGAAACATCGTACAAATAAAATAAATCAGTGGATTGAGTTAAGGGACTTTGTTTCATTAAAATTGATTTATATGCTTTTTTTTATTTAATAATACATTGTAAAATTATTTAATTTATTTAGAAAAAATCTTTAATGATGTAGCTCACACAAGGTATGAACAGAATCCCGAAAATAGATACTGTTTGACACAAGGTGAGAGAGCAGTTCAGGTATGTTGACGGTGAACACACACAGGCCTAGTTGTCATTTAGGGGGATAGGGGAGAAGGGGGAGGGGGTATTGACCGCACAGGAAGGCAGTGTGCTGATTAGACAGGTACACATACGCGTCAGTTTTACGGCAAGGAAAGCTCTTCGATTTGACACTCAGGTGCATTATTTTTTCAGTTTATTTCCACGCCGAAAAGGTAAGCTGTTAATAGTCGTCATGTTTTTTCCTGTATATTATTTTAGATTATCTAATGCCAGATAAAATCAATGAAAAACTTCTATTTTATTGTAACGAAACCGCAAGACTTATCGAAAAACTTTATAGTTCATGAAACTGGATATCAAAAGTTATTCTGAAAAACGACAGCCCTTGTTTGAACTTTGACCCCTTTCGAAGTTATTTCCCTTTACGCAAGAAATGCTTGTTATCGCTACTCCTCCGAAACCGTAGACCGTATAGACACCAAACCTTCACTAAAGTCTTCGACTAATTGAGAGGACTCTGGAATCTATTCATTGCGAAAGTATTCGTTGACTCCTTCAATGAGTTATTGCCCCTGAAACTTTTTGAATTTTAGAAATTATTAAAAATTTTCAAAACGAGAAGTGAGAGAGACATGGGACCAACTGCATAAGATTCATTGAGCTTTGAGCTTAAAATTCATGTAAAGGTCAAAGGTCAAGGTCATTCAAAATTTGAGAAATTAATCTCTTTTTATATCTTTTTTGTCTCTTAACATATACAAACTGTCTGAGCATCATTAATATGTACTCTTAAAACTATCTTAAAGATTCAATTCGTATTCCGTAACATTGACCCTATTAAAAGTTATCGCCCTTTGTGCGGAAAACCTTGTTATCGCTACTACTTCGAAACCATAAACCGTACAAATATGAAACCTTCACTAAAGTCTTCGACTAATTGAGAGGATTCTGGAATCTATTCATTGCGAAAGTCTTCGGTGACTTCTTCAATGAGTTATTGCCCCTGAAACTTTTTGAATTTTAGAAATTATTAAAAATTTTCAAAACGAGAAGTGATAGTGACATGGGACCAACTGCATAAGATTCATTGACCTTTGACGTTATGAAATTCATATAAAGGTCAAAGGTCAAGGTCATTCCAAAATTGAGAAATTAAGCTCTTTTTATATCTTTTTTGTCTCTTAACATATACAAACTGTCTTAGCATCATTAATATGTACTCTTAAAACTATTTAAAAGATTCAATTCGTATTCCGTAAGATTGACCCTATTAAAAGTTATCGCCCTTTGTGCGGAAAACCTTGTTATCGCTACTACTTCGAAACCGTAAACCGTACAAATATGAAACCTTCACTAAAGTCTTCGACTAATTGAGAGGGTTCTGGAATTTATTCATTGTGAAAGTATTTGGTGACTCCTTCAATGGGTTATTGCCCTTGAAAGTCTCTGATTTTTACAAATAATTAAAAATTTTCAAAACGAGAAGGTATAGAGACATGAGCCCAACTGCATAAGATTCATTGAGCTTTGAGCTTAAAATTCATGTAAAGGTCAAAGGTCAAGGTCATTCCAAAACTGAGAAATTTAGCTCTTTTTATATCTCTTTTGTCTTTCAACATATGCTTAATGTCTATGCATCATTAATATGTACTTTTAAAACTGTGTCTTAGATTTCATTCTCGTCCCTTAAGATTGACCCTATTAAAAATTATTGCCCCTTGTACGAAAAACATTTTTATTGCTATTGCTCCAAAACCGTAAACCGCAAAGACACAAAACCTTCTCTAATGTCTTATGGGACTTTAGGCAAAACTTTTATGTTCAAGTGCAAAAGGATCTGGTGACTCCTTGAATGAGTTACTGCCCTTAAATGCTTTTGTGCTTAATATTAAACCTTATAACTTTTAAACTATAAGTCATAGAGACATGGGGTTAATTACAATGTGACCCTTGACCTTTGACCTTGAATATGACTTGAAGGTCAAAGGTCAAGGTCACCTAAAAAAAAAATTCATTTTCATTTTTTTTTCTTCTTTTAAGCCATTCCTGGTTTCTTTTTTATGAAATTTAATTTTAAATAGATAAATATTAAATGAAATTGAAATTCAAAAGGTGGAAAGACCTCTTATTGTTCTGTGAACAATAAGTCTCCTAGTTATTATTATTCTTCTTCCGCTGATTTTTTGTTTCGACATTTATCGAAAAGACTTTTTGTTCATCGTAAAGGTCTTTAAAGTTATGAACAAATTTGACCCAACGCGTATGAACTATGACCCCTTTTCGAAGTTATTTCCCCTTTACGCAAGAAATGCTTGTTATCGCTACTCCTTCGAAACCGTAAACCGTAGAAATATGAAACCTTCACTAAAGTCTTCGACTAATTGAGAGGACTCTGGAATCTATTCATTGCGAAAGTATTCGGTGACTACTTCAATGAGTTATTGCCCCTGAAACTTTTTGAATTTTAGAAATTATTAAAAATTTTCAAAACGAGAAGTGATAGAGACATGGGACCAACTGCATAAGATTCATTGAGCTTTGAGCTTAAAATTCATGTAAAGGTCAAAGGTCAAGGTCATTCCAAAATTGAGAAATTAAGCTCTTTTTATATCTTTTTTGTCTCTTAACATATACAAACTGTCTTAGCATCATTAATATGTACTCTTAAAACTATTTTAAAGATTCAATTTGTATTCCCTAAGATTGACCCTATTAAAAGTTATCGCCCTTTGTGCGGAAAACCTTGTTATCGCTACTACTGCGAAACCATAAACCGTACAAATATAAAACCTTCACTAAAGTCTTCGACTAATTGAGAGGATTCTGGAATCTATTCATTGCGAAAGTCTTCGGTGACTTCTTCAATGAGTTATTGCCCCTGAAACTTTTTGAATTTTAGAAATAATTAAAAAATTTCAAAACTAGAAGTGATAGAGAGATGGGACCAACTGCATAAGATTCATTTACCTTTGAGGTTAAAATTCATGTAAAGGTCAAAGGTCAAGGTCATTCCAAAATTGAGAAATTAAGCTCTTTTTATATCTTTTTTGTCTCTTAACATATACAAACTGTCTTAGCATCATTAATATGTACTCTTAAAACTATTTTAAAGATTCAATTCGCATTCCATAAGATTGACCCTATTAAAAGTTACCGCCCTTTGTGCGGAAAAACTTGTTATCGCTACTACTTCGATACCGTAAACCGTACAAATTTGAAACCTTCACTAAAGTCTTCGACTAATTGAGAGAGTTCTGGAATCATTCATTGTGAAAGTATTTGGTGACTCCTTCAATGGGTTATTGCCCTTGAAAGTCTCTGATTTTTAGAAATAATAAAAAAAATTTCAAAACGAGAAGGTATAGAGACATGAGCCCAACTGCATAAGATTCATTGACCTTTGAGCTTAAAATTCATGTAAAGGTCAAAGGT